GACCGGCTCTTACAGTTAAAAACCCACATTTGTGGGACACTGAGAAAGAACAGTGGGGAACCACAAGCTATTACTAAAATTTCCAACTTTAATCTTGAGCCAGGGGAGGTCATTGCACTTCACAACCATGTGGACGCAGAAGTGAAACAAGCTTCTACTGCACATCATGCCGTGTTCTCCTTCACCTCAAAGATTGTTTCACGCTGTACCACTCACAGAAAGACTTGGTTTTTCAAGGCAATTAGGTTTATTCAGTCGAAGCCCTTTCCTTTTTTTCTATCTTTAAATTGTTTATTTAATTTTGATTATATTACTATAAATACACATTTGTAATATGATAGTGCATTCATATTGCTGTTGCTGTTGCAATAAATCTTCATATGGATCAAATTTCATCTCCAGTGTTCATTGTAAAGGAGGTATAAATATTTGTATGGATTGAATTATTCCTCTAAAAATGTGTTTTTTTGTAGTCTACCCTACGCCTATAAAATATCTATCTTATAAATGTACATGGACCCAGAAATGTAAGTGTCAGAAGAACTACACCCTCAAAAAAATGACTTTTCATAAAAGGGTCTCTATGGCCCAATCCCAATACCCACACTGCACCCTACACACCTCTACGAAGTGTGCATTTGTTCGAAGTGCACACCAGGGTTGGAGTGCGCAGGTTACAAGTGTGCAAAAAAGGCGGAATTGGGACAGTGCACACTGAGTGCAGGTTACTTCATCGACTCGTCAAGAGATGGTCATTTTCAGACCTAAACTTTATAAACATTAAAGGTAATTTTGTCTGACCCTTTGGGAAACAAAATGAATTGCTTCACACACGCTAAAATACATGTATATTAGTTGTTTTTAATTAGAGATAGCTGTATAATTTTAAGTTAAATGTGGGGAACTAACTATCTGGTCAGTTTTTATACATTCTAAGATTATTGTACTGAGTGTAAAGTTTAAATTGAATGTTATTTGAACGCTTGCTTTAAAAAGTTATTAAATTGTTAAAACACAATGTCCGTAATTCTTCATCAGACGTTTATGCTTCTTTCCAAGTAACATAGCAAAAATTATTTACACACATACAGCATATATATTTCAAAATGTATATTTAAATGCATTTTCCCGACGTTTTGGTGTGTACCGCAAAGAATTATGGGCAATATCCTTCGCCAGAGTCCGCCTAGATGCAGGCTACGGCGAAGTGTGGATCAGGGGCTCAAAGGGGGCGGGGCCAAAGACCTCCCTGGAGAATTGGGACGCCCTACGCACTCGCACCCTTTATCGGGAACGCGCAAATGAGGGACGCGAGGGTGGAAGTGCGAGTATTGGGAAGGGGCCTATCTCCTTTTCTAGGAAATTCACAGGGATTTTCATGAAAGTTTCCCATCTTTAGCTTAGGATATCTCAGGGGCAAAAGCTGGTAGAAACGGAAGGTTTTCACCACCTGAAAGTTTAAAGCCTCACCTTTCAAACGCATTATAGCATGTGATTATGGCAGTAACACAGAATATGCTGTGGCTCTGCAAATATAAGAAAAAATTGACAAAATGGCTGGCATTCTAGACCCTGATTCTGGATCAAGGACATAAGACTCTACTTGACGGGTTGCCATTGTTGGAAAAAGTTTATTCTCAGGTGTGAAATGACTAACAGCGAAAGCTGTACAGTAAGCTTTTGTTTACCTCAAACTTAGCGTGATGCTACATCACCGCGCGGGCGGGGGGAGGAGGGCTCTCAGACAGAGGAGCACAGATCAGCTGGTTTCACACAATGTGTCATCACCTCTATACACGAAATGGCAAAATATGACATGAATTTGTTTTGAGTGTTGTATGGCGTATCACCCAAATTATTATCACATATGTGCAGAGGATGGATTGTGAAAAATGAAGAAAAGTGAAATATGACACCTTTAAACCTTTTTATATGGTTATGTGGTCGGTATTGGGACCCCCAAGGACTCTGTTGCCTGGGGCCCCGGGGGACCCTTGGAACGCCACTGGCTATACGGTTGTAGTAACCAAAGCAACAGAGAGAAAGAACTGTTAAATAATGTTTTTAATGCCAAAGGCTGTCTCAAACCAACAAGTACATGTGTAAAAAGCTAAAGGCAGGCTGTACAATCAACAGCCTAGTGTATAGTTGCGCTGCGCGGAGCTTACGGTGGTGACGTGATGTCACTTGCACAACGCGTGGATCACCGCAAGGCCCTCACGTTGCTTGCCACGCACAATAGAAAATGTCTAACTACGCAGGCCGCGCCACAGACGAGCTCCGCTGTGATTGGTCCGTGTGTGATTACTTTCTGGGGAGCATGGAGCGGCTGCAGGAACATGGACGAGGCACTTCGGAGCAGACTCCCTCGCGCTTCAAAGGAACAGAAGGAAAATTAGTTTGGGCTCATGGTAGAGCCTGATATACGCGGAGACTGTGGACTGTTCAGTTCTGTTGCATATCTAACATATATATAACATATAAACTGTGCAGTCGTTTGCTTTGCACTGTTCCTGTCCTGTACTTGTAATTAATTCATGTTTGTCTCAGATATTTACCACTTATTGTTTTTCTGTTTGTGCTGAATTCACTTTAATAATAACTATGTTTCCAACAAGAACTGTGTCTTTATTCAGAGCATCACAGTTAAATGAGTTGAAATAATGAGTCCATAGAACTGTCACATAAACCTACAGTAGAAACACATGTAATGATCTCAAACAGCTTGCTATTGTTTTTGTTCTGAAGAGAAAGTAGCAGCGTAAATAGGACCGCTTTGGTTTCTCAGGCAACTCCTGTGAGATCGCCATCACGTGGATAGGTGTGGGATTACAACATTCTCTTCAAAACTCCACAAGGGGAACACGCGAGTGTACCAGCAACTGCGGCTGCGTACATTAGTACATTAGTCATTGTGTTATGAGAGTGTTCATCGTTATTTCCACGACTGGGACTGTGAGGACCAGGGTAATGTCGAAGTTGTATCCGAGCTCTGTGCCCTGAGGACGGCTGTGTTCGTTGCAGCCCCCCGCTGTTAGCTTAACGCTACAGCCTCCCCCCTGGAGTATAAGTCATTCTTATTTACAGCTCAACAAATCACAAAATGACAATAAAGGGTCATATTTCTCACCTCAAATGTTGTTAAAAGTAACATTTGTGTATTATTGATTAGAACTATCATCTCGACGTGGTTCTGTTGATCCCATAGTGACAAGCTCCACTGTCGTCACTATAACAGCCATAATCCTCCTCATTGTTGAAAAAATCGTTCAAACTCTATAAGGCATTGAAAATAGTTTTCACTCAAAATAAGAGTGATACTAAGCCGCGAAAAGCTCCTGTGTGTGCGTTTTCTCACATCGCCCATTCTATTTGGGCGGCACGGTGGGTGAGTAGATAGCACTCTCACCTCTCAGCAAGAAGGTTCTGGGTCGGTACAGGGCCTTTCTGAGTGGAGCTTGCATATTCTCCCCGTGTTTGCGTAGGTTTCCTCCGGGTACTCCGGTTTCCCCTACCACTAAAAACATGTGCAATAGTTCAGGGTGAATGAGTGTGTTTTTGTGAGGGCGAATGTGGGACAACGGATGCAAATTAGCCCATGGCTACAATCCGGGGTGATGTGTTCATTAACATGTACTGTATATAGTTTATGGGAAAACAATATGAAATTAAAGCCGCATGGATCTATAATAATAACTGGATAGGGTATTACTAGATTATAGTCCACCCATGGGCATAGGGGGCGCCCGTGGTACTGCAGACTAAATTCACGTGGGCTACCTAGAAAAACTGTTCTCTCTGTTCTCAGGTAAAATATTTATATGCGATTAAAAAACAATTAATTCATTACAAAGTCTCTAATTAATTTTTTTTTTTTATCGAGTCCCAACCCTAATAATAATATTTTAAATCACATGTAAACTACAGGTTTAAATCATTGAGGGCGGGTCCCAGCTCAAAGGGGTTCATGAGCATGTACGCTGACGTGCTCGCAATCTGACTGGTGGTAACAGAATTATCCAGTGCTTTACGGCCTGGTCCAAAAGTTGGCTCTTGCCTCAACGGTACGTTCCAGATGCGTGAATGCGTGAATGGATGAATTCTTTGGACCAGCCTAGTTCAGCCGCTGTGGACTTTTGAATGCACTCGTTAAATGAATGGCATCTGGGGAAGAATGTCTCAGACTCTTGAAGCATATCAAGTTTGTGAATGACACCACCCCTCATTGGACTCATTTCCGACAAAAATTAGTCCGCCTACAGGAGGGAGGTGGACTGGCTGGTGTCCTGGTACAGCAGTAACAACCTGGAGCTGAACGCCCAGGAGACAGTGGAGATAATTGTGGACTTCCGGAAGAGCACAGTTCCCCCGCCCCCGCCCCCCCATCACCATCACCTCTGTGGAGTCTGACTGCAGCCTCCCATTGCTGCAGAACCTGTACAATGCCCGAGCTCGCGGGAGGGCTGCACATGGACTGTTTCAACCTCGCCCCGCAGGCAAGGGTCCATTCGGACCAGACTCTCCCGTAAGAATAGTTTCTTCCCCTCCGAGTGCACTTGTATTAAGCAATAATTTTAATTTATATACTTTTGAGATTTTTATACTTTAAAAATGTTTGATTATGCCTTATTCTATTCTCTACTTGACTTGAGTCAAAGCAATTTCCTAGTCTGTGACTTCCTGTTACTTATATTGTGGATAGATAGCTATGGCCTACGCAGGTGGACAAACGCAAGACTCTGATTGTGTATCAATGTTATGACTATGATATGTTCTGATTGTCTCTTGATGCGACACATATTCCTTTCTGTGTGTGACGTATCTGTGATGTAACAATGACTATATAAACCATGAAAAAAACTGAAACAACTGAAACCTGAAGGAAACCTAATAAACTTCCAGAAGCTCTGGTGCGCCATGATCCGTCTCTGTGTGGTTAATCTACGACACTTAGATGGCAATAAAAATCTGATCTGATTAAATGCACACATCTACAGTACCTGTCCAACCTGGTAGCCCTCCAGCGCTGTGACCTTCTCTGGAAGCTTCTTGTTGGATGTGTTTCCAAGCCCCAAACGGCCGTAGTCTCCGTTTCCAAATGTGAAGAGTTTCCCGTCTGCGGTAACAACGGCGGAGTGTTTGAACCCACACGACATCTGACGGATTACAGTTGTACATTAAGTTCATTAAGTTCATTAAGCTGTATTTGGAATAAACACAATTCAAAACGCAGACGCCTGGGTTCGACAGCTCAGACCTGGATCTACAGCCTGAGACCTGGATCTACAGTCTGGTAATCCATGGGAGTGAATTACTCTCTCAATATGGGACTTCACCGTTTCCCAATGTATTTCTGAGTGGTAGGGTCTAAGGACAGTGATGATCCGGGACATTTCTGCACATTTATTAACATTTCTGGACAGTGGTCATCCCGCTTCCTATTAACCAATGGCTCCTATGTGTTAATGTTATTCTTACATTTCCTGTCTTACCAGATTCTCTGATCTGTTGTTGTTGAATCCACAACTTTGTTAAGTCCTCCAAGACGACTGCTGTTATAATTTCGGGCTGTTCCTCTGACTGACCTGCACCACCTCCTCCCCCTGCAGAGCTTCTATCTGCCGTGGTCGCCTCTGTCGGTCTGAGTTCCCGTGGCCCAGTTTCCCGTAGTCTCCGTCGCCCCAACTGAACACCTCCCCACTCTCTGTGAGGGCCATAGAGTGACCGTCACTGCCACAAGACGTCACCAGCTGAGTCACTACAAAACCTGAACACAAGCACAGGGAGAGAGGGGACGAGGGGTCAGGAGAAGAGAGAGACGAGAGGCAGGGGAGAGAGGAGGGGGAGGAGAGAGAGGAGAAACAAGAAAGGGAGGGGAGAGAGGGGAAAAGGAAGAGGGGGAGGAGGGGAAACAGGTGAGCGATTATTAAAAGCTGATCTTATTGCTGATCTGGTCTTTCTCTGAGACCAGAGAAAAACCAGAGAGAGACCAGAGAGAGAGACCAGAGAAAGAGACCATAGAGAGACACCACAGAAAGAGACCAAAGAGAGAGACCAAAGAGAAAGACTAGAGTGAGGCTAGAAAGAGAGACTAGAGAGAGAGACTAGAAAGAGAAACTAAAGAGAGAGACTACATAGAGAGACAAGAGAGACCAACACTGACCACTATTCAGTCTAGTTACACCAGCATACATTATTATTATCTGTAGACTACAACCCCCACCTTGCAAAGCTGAGATGACCGTGAGCACATGCAGGTCGTCCGAGTTGCCCTGTCCCAGACGGCCGTAGCTCCCCTCTCCGCAGGCTAGCACCGTCCCGTTGGGCTGAATGACGAACGTGCAGTTTTGACCACACACCACCTGCAAGGACAAGGAATGTATTATTATCACAGACAGTGTAGATCTATTGGTTATATCAGCTAATAGTGAGGGTTTCATGGTGAAGTGTAGCACAGCACAACAAATCAAATAATAACAAATAATCAAAGCCGCAAGCGGCGTCGAACGGCCCTCACCGCACCGCATAAAGGAGGTGGCCTTTTTCTATGGCTATGGGTGCAAAGTTGTAATGAATATGATGATGAATAATGGTTTGGTTCCCAATGTGAAAATTTGGCTGTCTGCAGGGGGCGCTAAAGAGCCAATTTAATATTTCACACCTTCAGATGACCTAGGCCCAAGAGTTAAACAACCGAGTCAAGTTTAGTATAAATCAGACTTTGTATGTGTAAACAGGAGTACATGTATGCGAGTGTGTTCTATGAACAACTATTAATGGTACATGTGTACCATTAATGGTGGTGAGATGATGAGGATAGATTATCAGTCAAATCGGTGAAACGGCCAAGGCTGGATGTTTGTGCGAGGTGTACATTTGCCATTGACACAGAACGGCGAGTGTTTGACGTCGCAACGGCAACAGGGTAAAAATAAATCTTGGGTGTCATTGACTTTTTGAATCTAGAGGGCAAAACAGAATTGCTGGGTTGCACGTGACGTCACGTAGCGGCGTGAAAGTTTTCTGAGGGACAGGAAGTAAATCTCCCCATTAAGAACAATGTAAAGATGCACTCATTCCGAGTGCATTTTCTGTGGCGTGTACAGTTGTGGTACTGTCTGAAGTTGTATCCAAGCTCCGTGCCCCCAGGACGGCTGCGTTCGTTGCAGCCCCCCACTGTTAGCTTAACGCCACGGAGCTCCCCCCAGGAGCATAACAAACCACCGAAATGACAATAAAGGGTCATATTTCTCGCCTCAAATGTTGTTAAAAGTAACATTTGTGCCCTATTTAGTGTATTATTGATCAGAACTATCATCTCAGACGTGGTTCTACTGATACCAGAGTGACGAGCTCCACTGTCGTTACTATAACAGCTGCTTAATCCTCCTCACGGTTGAAAAAATTGGTCTCATTCAAACTCTACAAGGCGTACGCTGCTGTAAAATAGTTTACACTCAAAATAAGAGTGATACTAAGCCACAAAAAGCTCCTGTGTGTGCGTTTTCGCGCATCGCCCATTCTATTTAATAGGGGAAAAATACTTCCTGCCCTACGGCCCCATGCCACGCCCCCTTTTGGTGACGTGGTTGCAACCCAGCAATTATGTGCAAAATTTCAAACATTTTGAAAAAAAGAAATGTGATTAACCTCATGTAAAAAATGTGCAAAGTCTGTAGGGGGTGCTAATGGGATAATGTGAATTATTTCACTTTCAAATGACCTAGACCCTGGAATTGAACAATGGATTAAAATTTTGTGCAAAATCTGCATCGTATACAGTGGGTCAATGACGGATAAGGTTTTTTAAGAGGCCAATTTCAAAATAGACAGAATATGAATTTTTACAGCAGTAGGTCAAAGCTTTGTAAAGTCATGTGTAAATACAATCATGAATTGGAATTTTCATACATGCAGATATAATCATCATTCCAATAAAGTAGCGGCCTCCTATTTTCATGTAGTTTGCATGCTTATTTTTTCTGTAAATTGCATAAAAATGATCCGATTTTTTTTTAAATGGTCTTAACTTCAGCAAACCCCATCAGTGTTCAAGTTTCTGCCACAGAAAGAATGCATAATTTTTTTATTTTTCTACTGATGTTCTTTTTAATGGTCGCACCACATGACGGGCGGTCGCACCAAATGATGAATCCAGCTTAAATGTTTTAAAATTCAATAGAACAGGATAAAATCATTTGAAGATAATATATTTCCAACATATTTTAATCAGAAAAAATGTAAGCCCTTTAATTTTTGTAAAAAGATTCTTTTAAAACCACTGTGTTGAGGTGAACTTCACATTCATGTATTTTGCTAGCCTGGCTAACGCCAGACGAAATATCACAAGTGATATTTAGTCTGGGGACCACCAATTCATTTTCTCGTATGAAAGGTGTGGTTTACGATTGTCCATAGCCGTTTATTGGGTGCTACGAATGTCAATCATATGCGTCTGCAAGTAGCCATAGCCAATCGTATCAATTCTACCCGATGACGTAGGTTGAGCGACAGAAATTCGACGAGGAAGGAAGAAGCGAAGAAGCGAATGATGTTTACACGTAGTTTACACAATGGAGCCGAGTGATCACTGTCGTTTGTGCGCGTTAAACATGAGGGAAGATGGGCCGTCCACATATAGACACTCCACAGACATGTTTTTAACGAAAGAAACAGCGAGCATGTCAGAGAGGTTAGCGTTGTTGGGTTTGATTGTCACCCCGGAGTCAGGGAAATCAAATAGATGCTGCTCGCGTTGCTCCTCCATAATTAGCAGGCTCGAAAGAGACTTGCCTATATTCAGAAAATGGGAGGAGGACTTCGGAGACAGCAGCATATGCAAAAGGCAACGCGAGCCTACGCCGTCCCACCCTACCCACCGAGTCCAAGTGCCAGCTCCATCGGACAAACAACAACAACCCAGGTATCAAGTTTAATTGTCTGTTGACTCGCTCCAGCTAAATTGTATTCATGCTAACTAAATGACGTAACAGAGCATTTTAATCTCACGATAAGCAACCTAGCTGTTCTTATTACATCTGCCAATAACGTCATTACAATACAATAGAAAATGAACAAAGTTAATGGTGTGTTGTTTATTTAGTTGTCCCACACTATCTAGAGGGGGAAAGCATTTGACTTCCCTGTCCCAAATGTCATAACACTGGTAGAAACGGATTCCAGAGCTCCACTCTATTAATTGACCATAATGTCAACAGTCCACTATAAATTACGCCTAGCATATCAGAGCATATAACGTTTTTAATATATCCACTTATTTGATCAGTGACTATCAAACTATTTTTAATCTCTCTAAGACGTGAAATTAAACGTAACCAGATGGCAACCATTTCCAAAAAGACAAGCGCTTCAATGCTAAAACTATTGTGTATGCTGAAACTAAGTGTATACTTTCTTTCAGGTTACCATCACATATCCATCGCAAACACTGACAAGGGTGTGCGGTCCAGATGAAGACCCTATAATAAAATTAATTGTTCTGAAGAGATGGAAAGAGGCTGCCAGTCATGCTCTGAAACATAAACACCTGCAAGAGGAACTCAAAGAGGGCATCATTAACTTAATACTCAAAGAATGTGAGGTGCTGTGCTCTCGCAAGAATGACTTTATTCTGTGGAAGTCTAAACCGGCAGACCTTAAGTCATTCTCGTTCACCAGTCTAACAGATGACTTTCATCGGCTTGCTCCCTTTTTATTCTCAATTTTCAACTGCATCAGCAACGAAAACAACTTCGCAGCCTGTGCTGCTGCAGCCATTGCAATAAGAGCCAGACAACCCCGCCTGGCTGCATTATCTTATTGGATCAACACTATTCTTCAGTACGGCGGAGCCAAAAAGTCAGTATTCAATCGACTGAGCCAGTTATTCATCACCACATCCCATAAAAGAGCTATTAAGAAACAACACGAGTTGGCACTTGGCTGTGGGTCTGATTTTGTACAATTTAAAGATGGCTTGACAGCTACAGGATTGTTGGAAGCATCCCAAAGCCAGGAGGACCTTCATCTGTCAGGTGAGGGAGAAATGTACCCCACATGAAACACACTTACACAGTTGCAGTTATTCTTTGTTTGATTATTACTTTATAAGTGTATGTGTTGTACATAGATAGATAAAGCGACTTTATTTATCTTCAATTTAAGGAAATTTAGTTAGGTGTTGATGTGTCCATGTGCAGATCTATATACATGTGTTGATCTAATGTTTTTTAATTGAAAAAATAATAATGCATTTATACAGATCAAAACAGCACCCCAGCCCCCAGACAGGAAGACAGCCGTGTGACTTGCCCGCCATCGTACTCAATAATCATGGACAATCTGTCGAGTGTATGCTGCCTTCCCTGGCTTCCGAAAGAACCTATTGGCAAAGCTGGATCATAAGGCACTGTGGAAGTGGATGATGAGCAAAATCAATGAATGGCGCAGTGTCCCTTTGTAAACCTTGAGGAAAATGACCACATTGTGCTATTTTAACTTGTTTTTTTTAAATCCTTCACGTGTTCTTTTTCATTGGTCTTATTAAAAAAAAAATTAAGAGTTTCCAAGGGACTCATTACTGCATGTATGAAGTGTAAAGAGATTTTTATTCAGACTGAAACATTTACAGTGGCTCAGTAATTAATCTGAGATTTTATGCACTAAATGCTGCTGAATGACACTTTCCATAATATACATTTTGCCGCCAAAAAATAGGCAATTTTTATGCATGAAATATCTTACCTTTATTTAAAACATGAACTGGAAGAAAGATTGCAAAACAAATGTTACAGTATTACATAGCAAAGTTTCAAATTGAAACTCAATTTATTTCCCTATTCACAGTTTTTCACCTCAATAGTAGTTATGACTTTGTTTATTCATGAGTATTCAAGGGACACATTACTGCATGTATGAAGTTTAAAAAGATAAATTTATTCAGAATGAAACATTTACAACTGTGCAGTTATTTACAGTGGCTCAGTGATTAATCTGAGATTTGAAGCATAGAAAAGCCCGACTCAATGCTACTCAATGAACTTTCAAAATCCTCATTGTCATCAGCAACATCAAAGTACCCGGAGAAGTCAATATCTGGCGGCAAATATGGTTCTTCAGGAATATCTGGGAACTCGCATAAATCAAAGTCTTGAAATATTTTGTGAACAATTCGTATGATTTCCTGGCCATGTTTTATGTCGAACACAGGTAGTTTCCTCATGACATCAGTTATGTCAAATATTTCAGAAAGACTTTCAATAACTGACTCAATTAGCACATTGCTGAAACCAGTGCAGAATGAGGCATTTGTGTACAGGTGTTCATTGGGTGGAATTAGACTGTCCCTATACTTCTCCAAAAGCTTTCTGACTAGTTCCTGCTCATCTAATGTGATTTGTCTGCATTTGACAGGTGTTAAAATCTGTTTAGGCATTTCGTAATTGGGTTTTGATACAGAGCAATAGTCAGAGCTACACTTGCATAATGAATGGCAATAGGTGCAGCAAGAATGTCCTGGCTCAACACTGGACACTTCTTTCTCAAAATATGAGTATAGGGCCTTCCTAAAACAGCCCTTTAGGCTTTCTTGAAGAACTGTCTTTACTGCCGTGTCTGTGTTGGCGAGCTGTTTGTTGGCATAAAGAACAGCATAAGCGGGAGAGCCATCTCTGCCTGCTCTTCCAACCTGCTGGAGAGTGGCCTCTGTGTCCTCTGGTAACCCATACATGACCACATGGGAGACCTTGGGGAAATTTAGGCCGACTCCAAGTGCTGTAGTTGCCACAGTTACTCTGCAGCTGCCTTCTCCATTAAATGAAGAAAGTACCCTGCTCTTGTTCACGGGTAGAGTATGGCTGTGAAACATCCCAATGAGGAGGTTTGTACCTACTTTCTCTCCACCAACCCAGGCACTGTCCCCAAGTTCAGCCTTGAGGTGGAGGAATACTCGTACAACAGTGTTTATTGTCCGGCAGTATATGATGATCGGTACCATCTCCAGGCCTTTCTCTTTCAAGTCTCTCACCAGCCAGTCAAAACAGTCCAGAGAATCTGTTGCAAGTCGCCTTACCGACAGTCTAATGTTGAGTCGATTGGGGCTAACAATTATGTTGTTTTCATTTTTGAAGTGTAGCTGTCTCCTGACAATGTCTCTTGAGTGCAAATCCGCAGATGCAGTCAATGCCAATACAGGTGTTCCTAAAAAAAAAATATATATATATATATTAAATACAACTCAAAAACATGGAAGTCAGTTGCATTTAAGTCATACCACAGCATACTTAATTTACACTGAATACACTGTATGTATTGTAACATTACTTTGAAATTAACAATTTGTATTTTTTGTTATGTCATAATGTCAGACAGTGAGTTAAGAGCACAGTAAAATCAGTGGGGTGAGAGGTGAGATATTCCACTAGTAAGACCATAATGAGAAAGCTGGTTGCTCGTTGAAAGGGTAATGGGTTGGGTGAGCTAACAAAGCTTTAAAGCGTCCCAGTAATACAAATGTAGTGTCACACCATATGAAGGTTACGGTGATCTCTTAAGTGTTATTGTTTACCTACCTGGTTTTACGATTGCCCGAAGTTCCCCCAACCTCGAAAAGCTTTCCCTAAAGGCCTTCTGTCCTTTCGCAGCCTTCCCCCTGTTTGAAAAAAGAAAAACACAGCTACAGCTTAGAGATGTTCAATTTGTCATTTGTATTGGAAATGGTTCACGCTTGTACTTCACGTTTAGTTACAATAGCGACTCAAGCTTCAACAACTTTTATCGGGTATTCTACATGTGCACACAGCTGAAAGCTATGTCCCGGGAAACGTTAGCTGTAGCTTGATATTATTGAAAAGTAACACAGTGACACTGTAGGTACAGTAGCTACTAGCCTGGCTAACGCCAGACGAAATATCACAAGTGATATTTAGTTCGAAAGGATTCGAGCGCACACAGCAGTCTGGCGTTAGCCAGGCTAGTAGCTACAGGCATGACAATAATATTAACAAATACCACTTACCATTTATATGTAAGATGGACAACGATGCCTATCAGGTTGGTCCTCTGTATATGTCGGTGGATAGCAAGTTCTCCCACTTGGCGCTTAGCCAGGCCTCCGGACTGCCTAACAGAACCTGGTACCGGCAACTCTTGATTGCATTTTCCTCCACGGGACCAAGCTGTATCGCAGAAATCCCGAGCTCAGCTGCCTCCTTTATCTGGTCCTCCATCAAGGCGATCAATGGAGAAACCACCGCAACAACCGGGTTTTTGCTAAACCCCATTAGCTTTGCCACTAACGGGGCTAGTTGGTAGATTAGGCTTTTGCCAAACCCTGTAGGAAGCAAGGCTAAAAACATCTTGCTTGGTGTTGATAAAAGATTGTAAAGCCAAACGCTGTTCATCTTTTAAAATAAACGTTCGAGGTAAACTACTTAGAACACGGTCTACAGCTTGATCAAAAGATAGCTTCACGTCTGCTGCTGCCATGTTGGATTCGTAAAAAGAACTACAAGCTTCCGTCTGCCAAATAGCGCGTCATCGTCTTGCCGTCCCTCCTCGTTCTGTGATTGGTGCCCAACTCCATGGACAAATGTCGGCCATGGTCCCCAGGCTGTTGTGAAGTTCGAAAGGATTCGAGCGCACACAGCAGTCTGGCGTTAGCCAGGCTAGTATTTTGCTGGACATTTCACAAATCCATCCATCCATCCATTTAAGGGTAAGAAAATGGATGGATGGATTTCACATATCAGTAAGAAACGAGATGATTTCAAACACATCAAACAAGAAGATCCTCAATGGTTCATACTGTGGGCCAAAATTGTCTTTAGTCAGCACCAATTGTGCAAGTCCTCACACTTAAAAGAGGAGCAATGCCTTTAATTGTCATCATATCTACACCTCAACTGTGAAAGTCAGAATAGAAAAGAAAATCTACAAAATCCATCCATTTTCTTCCTCTTCATCCGCTGCCGTGTCGCGGGAGCCAGATGTTGTGTATGCGGACAAAGCTGCCGAGGTCTCCGCTTTTGACTGCCGCCGAGTCCTCTCCGCATCGCCCCCCCATGGAGCCCTCGGTGGGGGTAGGTACACAGGAGGACCTGCGTACCTTGGTCCATTCAGGCAAACCCTGGCCGGGCCCCGTGGGCTCAGGCCTGCCACCAGACACTCGCATACGAGCCCAAATCCCAGGCCTGGCTCCAGGGTGGGGCCCCGGCTGTGCCATACGGTCGACATCACGGTTCTCACATGTTAATTTGTAAGAATGTATTTGATTAAAAATAAGTATGTAAAATGTAAAAAGTCAAACATTTTCTAAAAAGGGGCGTGACTTTTCCAAATCCAACGGCAAAAAACCGCCATTGCGAAAGTGGTGGGTGGGCTTGATTCAGATGACATTGAGCGAGGTGTCTGTGTGATGGATCTATAATAATAACTGGATAGGCTATTACTAGCTTATAGATGTCCCACCCATGGGCACAGGGGGCGCCTGTGGTACTGCAGGCTAAATTCACGTGGGCTACATAGAAAAATGTCCCATAGAACTCAATGTAAACTAAAACAGCTCGACCTCAGCTGACAGAGAACCTGACAGAGAACCTACAGCTTTCAAAAAGATTGGATTTTGTGGGGATTTTAGTGTCCCTTGTCATCCTGATTTTTGTTTCTACTTAAATCCTTCGGTTTTCTTTAAACCCACACTTTAGAGCCACAAACTCTGCTTGTTTCCTTCCCGCTCTATCTCCGCTCTGATCAGCTGCTCTGATTGGTCAAAGCGCGGCCGAGCCCCTCTGTGCACGTGCATGAGAGCCACACACCATCATGGGAGCTCGTCCACTGCACAGAACCGGGAGGACCAGACAATGCCCAAATATGGGCGAGTTCCGCTAATCTTTCAGTCCCCATGTACAGTACAGACCAAAAGTTCGGACACACTTTCTCCTTTACTGAGTGTCTTTTCATGACTTTTGACTGTAGATTCACACCAGGCTGTGTCAGGGCTGTTTGACCACTAAGGAGAGTGATGGTGCTGGGCCAGATGATCTGGCCTCCACAGTCACCGGACCTGAACCCAATCCAGATGATTTTGGACCTGAACCCAATCCAGTTGGATTTGGACCTGAACCCAATCCAGATGGTTTTGGACCTGAACCCAATCCAGAAGGTTTTGGGGCTGGACCATGGGCGGCACGGTGGCTGAGTGGATAGCACTCTCGCCTCTCAGCAAGAAGGTCCTGGGTTCGAATCCCGGTCGGACCAGGGCCTTTCTGAGTGGAGTTTGCATGTTCTCCCCGTGTCTGCATAGGTTTC